TAGAGTGGGCCCTAAACCTAGTGACAGGCATCCTTATAATAAACAAGAAGAAACCTAAGAAAAGAAGGCTATGTGAAGAGAGACATAGGAGTTATGGTGCCACAAGCAAACCAATGCCCGGAGCTACTAGAAACTGGAAGAGGCAAAGATTTTCCCCTCAGATCTTCAGAGGGCTTATGGTCCTGCTGATACCTTGTTTTTAGACTTCTGGCCTGTAGAACTGTGAGAGAATAAATTTCTATTGTTATAAGCCACCAAGTTTGTGGTAATTTGTTATAGCAACCCTAGTAAATCCTCAATATCCGTTATAGTTATGTTTACGAATGCTTAAGCAAGCATTGAGGAAAACTAGACCACAGTTTTATGTATCTTATGTCCCAGCAAATTTTCATTCTTAATATATAATAAGTAAAAGTAAGTCATGACTACGAAAATATATATAAAAAATGTTTATGACAGAATCATTCTTAAAAACTTGAAACTAAGAGCAAACCAAATGTCCATGAAAAGTAGAGTGGATAACTAAGTTATGGTGTATTTATTTAACAGAATACTACACAGTTTCATGTTTAAGATGGAACTACTGATACATAAAAGACAAAGCATTCTCAAAGACATAATGTTGAACAAATGAAGTCCAACTCCCATGAGTACATACTGGGTGATTCCACATATGTAAAATTCAAAAACACGCAAAATAAATCTATAGTGATTGTCACAAAGCAGCCTGCTAGAAATGTCCATGTACCTTATTCTTGGTACAGTCTATGTAAAAGCCAATAAAAACAATATACTTACGATGTTCTTTAATATCATTTCACTGGGATAAATGCCCAGGATTGCAATTACTGGATTATACACTAAGGGTGTATTTAGTTTCTTACGTTACTTATTTATGGCTAAAGTTCTTTCAGTCTTTTTGTTACATTTTCCCAAATTTTTAATCATGAGCAGGCGTTGAATTTTGGGGGGTTGAAAGCTGGTGGAGATAACAGTGTATGACCATCATTTCTCACACTTCAGACATTTCCTTCCCACCTTCACCATTAACCACCTCACGTATCTGTATTTTTTAATTATTTCATCTTAGCCTTGCAACAAGATTAGTGGACTCTGCAAGTCTGCCCAGTGTCTCTTCCCTCCTTTCTGGCAACAGAATCCCACATTTCCTAGGGGGACCACCTGTTTCTCACTGGATGAAGTCTTGGTTATATCATCATCTTATGCACCTATCCTCCCCTTGCTGAGGGGTAGGCATGTAACCTAAACAAGTTCATTTGGAGGAACTCTGAATGGCATTATGACTGAAAATAATTGCCCAAATTTCAATCTGATAGCAGCGTTGTGGGGAAAAAAGCTTCTCATGGTACCTGGAGCTATCCCCACTGTTGACTTTTCCCAAGGCTTCCGTCTTCAACTTTTCCTTGGACTCTGGAATCTGTCATCCACTTAAATATTCGTTGTGGTTATTTGTAATTAATGATTCTGTTCGCAACTAAAAATTTCAATATACCATCAAATCACAGATCTGATGTGCTTCTAGGTCTTCAAGCATACCAAAACACAACTCTATGTTAAGTGTTTATTCGTAAGCCACCCTAACAGTCATCTTTAGTACAATAACTTGAACAATACCTCCTCCCCCCACCCCAAATTCCAAGTCCTTGACAAAATCCTTCATCATGCAATATATGTCTATAAAAACAAAGTATTCAATAGGATTTTGTCTTGATTACAGCCAGGTTGGTAGACTATTTCTTAGAAGCTAAAAAACTGTAAAAAACCTTTTTTCAGTAATACTGAAGGATATGTTCCTGCATGGATGCACCAGCAAGCAAAGTCATGTCAAACGGATAAAGTAGCATGAGTAGGATGTGGTATGGAAAATATTTCTATAAAAGGTCTATTAATCAAAATCAAATTCAGTTTTCAATTATCAAAATAATTCAGTTTTTCAATTCAATTCTCATTTTTTTTTTTTTTAAATAGGTCCTCGTCACCAAAGGCAAATAGGAGTTTACGTCAACAAGTTGACATGCTCTGTGCTTAGGTTGTATCATTGCTAGTACCCGACACAGATGGTAAGATGTACCAATCTCATTATCTAAATCGCCAAAGTCAATTTTATATTAGGTTTCCATGTGAAGGATATTTTCCCTTCCGTAGCTTCATGAGGTATGATTGACAGTATATTTAAGGTATACAATATGATTTGACATATACACATTGTCAGAGGACATGCTTTTTTAAGGTCAATAGTTTTCAAACAGCTTATAGGCTCAAAGCTAACAGCAGGACACATGCCTTGAATAGAAAGAAGAGCTCTTTTCATAAAGGCACAACTTGAAAATACATCAAGATTCTCACTTTATACAAGTGAGTAGACTCTTCCCATCTATGAAAACATGCAGAAAAAGAACAAAATATACTTTTTAAAAAGTGAGAAAAATGTCAGTAATCAGTATTTCCTGCAAGCTTTACTTTTCAAAAACAACCTATAGTGTGTTAAGTGGGTAACAATTTCTTACACACACAACTAACAGAAAAGGCATTCAAAAGGAGTCAAGTAGCTGATGAAACTGACCTGTTATCACCTTGGGCAGGAGTGGCTGCTACCTCTTACATTTCAGCAGGACTTAGGTAGATTGCTAACAACAATCCAGTACCTCCTATTAAGGATGATGCAAGACAGTAACTTTAACACCTAGAAGAGTGTTCCGTGGTCTTCGGAATTTAAGTTACATTTTAAAGTTGGCACTACTTTGTCTAAATTTTATCTTGCTTTTTAGCAACATACCTAAAGAATTATCTAAAGTGATTATATAAATTTACTTCACTGACTGGATGCAATTATTCATCTATATTTTTCCTTACTCTCTTCTTATTCAGGTATTAAGGGAAATACCTTGACCAGTTACCCTCTTAGGCTGTAGCCTGCTTTGGAATCTGTGTCTCCCTCTCTTTCTGCCCCTCCCCAGCTTGTGCTCTGTCTCTCTTGATCTCGGAAATAAACATGAAAAAAAAAGTTTAGCTATTTAACTTACCCTGCTTAAATATACTACAACCAAAGAAACTAAAGTGTCAATACATTAGAGCAATTAAACTTCATTTCTTCCTGTCACGTAACTTTTGTCGGCTTTGAGGAAACAGTCATGTTCAAGTAAAAAATGAAACCCTTTATCTTAACAATGAATTCATTCAAGTAAATACCAAATAATTAAGATTCAGTTTTGAAATCTTAACAATTACAACATAGAAATCTTCCTTATCCTAATATCCATGTTCTTTTACAAATTGTACTTTTCCCTAGATTTATAAGGATTAACTGATTAAGAAAATTTTACATTTTGATACTTTTTATTTTTGAGAGACAGACAGAGAGACAGAGCACACGTGGGGAGGGGGCAGAGAGAGAGAGGGAGACACAGAATCTGAAGCAGGCTCCAGGCTCTGAGGTGTCAGCACAGAGCCCAACCTGGGGCTTGAACCCAGAAACTATAAGATCATGACCTGAGCTGAAGTTGGACACTTAACTAAGCCATCCACCCAGGCACCCTCATTTTTTATTTTTACTTTTTTAATGAGACAGAGTGCAAGCAGGGGAGGGATAGAGAGAGAATCCAAAGTAGACTCTATGCTGCCAACACAGAGCCTGACACAGGGCTCAAACCCACAAACCTTAAGATCAATGACCTGAAGTTGGTCGCCCAACCAAGACACTGGTAGAGAGAGAAGGAGACAGAATCCCAAGCAGGCTCTGTGCTCGATCCTAGGAACCTGAGATCATGACTAGAGCCGAAACCAAGAGCCCCTCTTGGTGCCCCTCTAATTCCATCTCTCAGGAGAGAGCTCACTTGGGATTCTCTGTCCCTGTCTCCCAAAATAAAAAAATTTAAAAAAGACATGGATGGCAGAAAAACAGATACTCAGATCAATGGAACAGAAGAGAGAATCCAGAAATGGACCCACAAACGTATGGACAACTAATCTTTGGCAAAGGAGAAAACAATATCCACTGGAATAAAGACAGTCTCTTCAGCAAGTGGTGCTGGGAAAACTGGACAGCGACATGCAGGAAAATGAACCTGGACCACATTCCCATACCATACACAAAAATAAACTCAAAATGGATGAAAGACCTAAATGTAAGACAGGAAGTCATCAGAATCCACGACGAGAAAGCAGGCAAAAACCTCTTTGATCTTGCCCGCACCAACTTCTTACTCAACACGTCTCTAGAAGCAAGGGAAACAAAAGCAAAAATGAACTATTGGGACCTTATCAACATAAAAAGCTTCTGCAGAATGAAAGAAACAATCAGCAAAACTAAAAGGAACCGACAGAATGGGAGAAGGTATTTCCAAATGACAGATAAAGGGTTAGTATCCAAAATCTATCAAGAACTTATCCAACACGCAAAAAATAATCCAGGGAAGAAATGGGCAAAAGACATGTCTCCAAAGACATCCAGATGGCCAACAGACACATGAAAAAATGCTCAACATCACTCATCATCCAGGAAATACAAATCAAAACCACTCCAGATACCACCTCACATCTGTCAGAAGGGCTAACATTAACAACTCAGGCAACAACAGATGTTGGTGAGGATATGGAGAAAGAGGATCTCTTTTGCACTGCTGGTGGGAACGCATATTGGTACAGCCACTCTGGAAAAGAGTATGGAGCTTCCCCAAAAATTAAGAATAGAACTACCCTATGACCCAGCAATTGCACTACTAGGTATTTACCCAAGGGATACAGTATGCTGTTTCAACGGGGCACATTCACCCCAATGTTTATAGCAGCACCATCAACAATAGCCAAAGTATGTAAAGAGCCCAAATGTCCATCAACGGATAAATGGAAAAAGATGTGGTATATATACAATGGAGTATTACTCGGCAATCAAAAAGAATGAAATCTTGCCATTTGCAAATATGTGGATGGAAGTAGAGGGTATTATGCTAAGCTAAATTAGAGAAAAACAAATACCATAGGACTTCACTCCTGTGAGGACTTTAAGGCACAGAACAGACGAACCCAAAGGAAGGGAAGCAAAAATAATTTAAAAACAGGGAGGGGGACAAAACAGAAGAGACTCTTTAATATGGAGAAAAATCGGAGGGTTACTGGAAGAATTGTGGGAGGTGGGATGGTCCAAATGGGGCATTAAGCAATCTACCCCTGAAATCACTGTTGCACTATACGCTAACTTGGATGTAAATTAAAAAAAAATTAAAAATTTTTTCAAATTAAAATTGTGAAAACAAAAAGACATGGAAACTACTCATTATGGAAAAAAAAAACAAAAAACAAAAAACAAAGGATACAGCTCAGAGCCTAACAAGTGCTTTGTATTCATGAATTATCAGTATGTAGAAAATCTGGAGATAGGATTTCAGAAATCAGACCCATCAGGAATCTTTGTGGATGGGGTGTCTGGGTGGTTCAGTTGGTTAACGTCAAACTCTGGATTTTGGTTCCAGTCATGATCTCATGATTTGGGAGACTGAGCCCCTGCTTGAGATTCTCCTCTCCCTCTTCCCTTTTATTATAAAGTTGACTTTAAGACCTACATTAAGTTTATGACAAAGATTCTAGATTTAAAAGAGATTATGTTAGCTTATCACTTTATCTGTTCGATAAATGCTCACTGCTGATACAAAAAATAACATTCAACAATATGTCTCATGCATAGCTTTTGTTTTATTCTTTGAAGAATGGTTCTGAAACATCACACTAAGTTAGGCTGAGAGGTAAAGTTTAAATAGTTTTGTAAGGACATGTTGTAACATAGGACTGCTTACTCCACAAAATTTTAATCAGAGCTTATGATACACCTTGTTGGCAGTAGCACCCAGGTTTTCCAAATAGTCATCATTTTTCTCTCGTCTGCATAGACTTCTTCTCATTAGCTGCCTTCTGCTTTTGTTGCATTATCTCAGAGTCCCTATAATAGGGGAAAAGGCTATAAGTTGTTACAGAAAAACTCATTTTACATTCTCACTTGTTTTCTATACACAACCCATTAAGCATATTAAGATACAATTTAAAAGAAGATATAAAAATTCATGTCTTTGTTTTCTTGGAGACAGAAGAAAAAGAATGGAAGGGCTTTGAAGCTGGATCTTATTTTGAAAACCATCCCTGTTGTTATGGTCTTGGGCAAGTAACCTCAAAGATCTTTCAAAATCACAACACTACTTACCAGGGTTGTTCTATAGAATAGCTACCAATGTATATACTGGCTTTAGGCAGCTACATACAGAATAATGGCAATTACTCTTGGTTGTCAACCCAAGACCCTTATTTAAAAAAAATGTATTTAATGACCTTGTAATCAACACCTACTATCTGTTCATGAGTTCCAGCCCTGCATCAGGCTCGTTGCAGACAGCTCAGAGCCTGGAGCCTGCTTAGGATTCTGGATCTCCCTCTCTCTACCCTCCCCCTCTTGTGCGCTCTCTCAAAAATAAACATTAAAAAACAAATACAAAAAGCTTATGTATGAGTATGAAGGAAAAACAACACACCTACAAAGAAAAAAAAAAAGCAATATTTACTTTTCTGTTTGAAACCAAGCTCTGTTGTGCTTGTTGTAACCTCAGTAATGTTACTGAAGTTCAGAGCATCAGTTTCCTGTTCTATACATTGAGGCTAACATTCCTTCTCAGGGTGATGAATAGAGGTAGAACGTACATAGTACCTAGAACAGAGCTAACAAGTGGATAATAATTCAACAGTGACTATTATTGTACCAAGCTAGACTAGATCTAGAAATCTAGACATCTTCACTAAAAATTCCAGGTTCACTGATTGGTACTATGTTCACTTTTACTCCAATGTGACTAAAGAGAAATTTAAGACAAACCTTATCACTTTAATACCACGGAAAGCATCAAGTGATAATCAGCCCAATGTGGGGCTTCAACTCATAACCATGAGATCAAGAGCTGCATGGTCCACAGACTGAGCCAGCCAGACACCCCAAAACACTGATCTTTAACTCTAGGTGCACATCAGAATCACCTGAGGAAATTTTTAAAGTTAGGTTTAACTTACACACAATAAAATTTATCCAGAGCACCTGTTATGCCCAGCCCCAAACCAATTAAAGAAGGACTGGAATTAAAGCACAGGCTTTAGTAACACTCAAGGCTTCCCACGTGTTTCTAATGTGCAGGCTTGAGGACCACAGAGAAGCCCTGCTAAAGCATGTGCAGTCACTTCTTCACCTGACCTCCAAGTTGTACATAGACAAAATTAGAGGTTTTTTTTTTTTTTGTCTCCCATTATACCATGCTTTTATGTGTTCCGGAAGGCCTAACAGTGGGGAAATAAACTATTTGTTACCATCTTAAAAACAGAATGCCTATTTGCAATGATGGCTGCTTCTCTTTGTTCTTCCTCTTTACATACTACCTCAACCCTACACGTGCTCCCCTTAAATGGGAATTTAAAACACTGACATTAAAGACCTCTAATAATTTAGAGACCCAACTTTCTAGTTGTGGAAGCACTGACTTTCTCAACAAATTCTGCTTGGAGAGTTCTAGAATTAAGGAATCTCCTGGCCTCAGCCATTCTTAATTAAAACAACAAAAACTGGGGTGCGTGGGTAGCTCAGTTATTAAGCATCAGACTTGATCTCAGCTCAGGTCTTGATCTCAAACGACTCATTGGGCTCAGTGCTGGGCAAGAAACCTACTGAATAAAACCTTTTACAAAGCTAAGCCAAAACACACGCTGGCTTTCATTAAAAAACAAAACAAAACAAACCCCCCAAAACCCCCAAAGTACAACAAAGTAACTACAGTGCAATTGTGAACTATTTGTTTACTACTGTAAAAAGGCAGCAGATTGATGAAGTTGCAAGGGTTTAAATACACATATCATTTAAAGCCATCTTCTTGGTGAGAAATTTTAAGCTGCGCTCTGAGAGTATTTCTGTATTATTACAAAGTTACAATTAATTTTCTATTATTTATTACATAATTACATATCAAGGCTGTGGACCTGCATTTTCTCCAACCCAATGGATCTTCAGAAATGAATATAGCTACACACTTTTTTGTGTCTCTTTCATAACATTTATCACTGTAACTGAGTCACCTGTCATCCTGACAAGGTTGAGTCGGAGGTCTGCTTCGGAAATGTTGTATCCCTAGCATGTAACAGTGTCTTTCATATGGGAGGCATTCCATTACTTCGCTAAATGAAGTTCTTATGGCTGTGGTGGGGAAGCAGAAGATTCATCCAGGGATTGGGATGACTGTAGTCATAATAGTTATAGCATGTGCAGCACAGCTGTTCATCTGTGACCCCTACTAAGCAAGCTTAGTTCTACCCAGGATTTAAAAAAAATTCTTTCCATTCTTAAAAGGAAAACTTCAGAGATTTGACAATTCGGTTAGTATCACTTACCTCTGCTTTCTCTGAGAGGTAGTCAAGCTATCCTCTTTTCTTTTGCCCTTGCTAATTTCCTGGGATTTCTTCATGTTTTTCTGGCGGGCAAGTTCTCGCTGATTTCCGCCTGCAAAGTTAAACAGTCATGCTCTTTTCCCATCTCAAAAATTAATACCAATTCCGTTAAAAGACTCTTATTTACATGCATCTGAAGTTAGCTTTCTAACAGGCCAGCAGAGCACTGCACTGAACAGAGTTCTCATAGTAGCCGAGGAAGAAGCTCAGACACAAACACTTCAAGTCTTAAGAGCATTATCCTACCAATTCAGGTGTTCAATTAATGTAAATACCGGATCACTTATAGCCAGCATTCCACTCCTGTGTCTATATGGGTCAGTACGTTCCAAATTAAGGTCTAGCTTTTGAGGAGTATGGAGAGAAGGATAGATACACAGGGAACACAGCTCCACAAGTTGGCCCATCACAATTCCACTGTTAAGCAGGTAAACGCAGCGGTTCGGGATACATGACCTGGAAGGGCCAAACAAAAGAACTAGGGAGGGGACTCAACCGGAGCTTCCTGCCCTTCTCAGGCCTTAGGACCTTAAGGACCAACTATAAACCACTTTCTGACCAAGACCCGTCCCGGGGCCGCCGTCTTCACACACCTCACCTCCGGAGAGGTGTTCTTTACCCTGTAAACTCGCACTTGGCCGGCAGGCACATGCCCCACTTCTCAGGCGGGCCCGAAGCTAACCGTCCCTCTCCCTCGGTGGGCTGAGAGAATGGGGTCCCCGCGCCGTCGGACCTAAGGGGATACATCAGCCGGCTCCCGCCTCCTCTCCAGCCGCGCCTACGGACCTCGGCTTCCTCTGCAGACGCTCCCCGCCGCGTCCCTCACCCGTCCGCATACTCACGGGCCATGCTGACACCCGACCGAGCCCAAAAGAGAGCCACTCGGAGAAGCAACGGCCTCGTAACGCGCTCAGCGGTCGTCCCCTCCCGCGGCTCTTGAAGGCTGAGCCCGCGCCGGCCCTCAGCCGGGCTACGCCTCTGTTCCTTCCATCGCCCCGCCCCACCGAGGCCGGACCGCAGCCTCCCGCGAGTCGGGAGGCTGACTGCGCGTGCGCCGCTGGGCAGGCGGGGCGGTCCTCGCGGTGGGTCCCGGGCTGGCAGCTTCTGGAGTTCAATCAGGGCTCGCGTCCCCTCGGTCACGCAAATTTGGTCGAGTCTAGAAAGCAGGTCCTGCGTCTGTGGATTTTCCCTACTGTGTACCGAGCCCTGGGGGTTGGCCAGCGCCCTCTTTTTGGTAACGACAAAAACAAACGCCACTATATCTAACTTTTAGACCGAGAACGTTAGCATTCATTAATCTCCTTGCAGAAGCGGGAAGGGGACAAAACCTATTAAGGGTTAACTCAATATGCAAAACACAGTTTTGGCTCTTTATATACTTTTTTTATTTCAGCACCAAACCTGTAAGTAGGCTTCATTGTTCCTATTCTGCGGAAGAGGAGATTGAGACTCTGAAACGAGGAGCGACTGTCCTAACAGGTAGGGACTCTTAGAAGTGAGATTTATAGTGAAGATGGACTTTAAATCTGTTAATTTCCCTTTTAGTCTCATTGTCTTTGTCGCGGTGGACAGTACCGAAGGAAT